CACAGCTCCCACAAACGCCCCAGGTGGCAGGGAGGGGGTCCCCAGGGTGACAGTCCATGATTCCCGGCACTGCACGGCAGCCCTATGCCGCTCTGTGTGCCAGAACAGTCTGTAGGCTGTGCTGCAGACAGGCCCAAACAGCTAAAACACAGCAGGTAAAAAAACAGAGGAGTCCAGCACGCACCAGCTGCCTGTCCGGCAGCAGCCATTCCCTTTTGGCACAGGGGCTCAGTGGTGGCAGCAGCTGTAGAAGTAGGGACTGTTCCTCTGGCCCAGGTTGACACCCTTGTCCTCTGGAAGAGAGCAGGAGTGGCAGGCTGCTGGCACTTCTATGCCACCAAAGCTGCTGGTCCACGTGTGGGCCCTGGCACCTCCCAGGCAGGTCCCCTGGGCAGGGTTTGGTGTCCCGTGGAGAAGTGGCAAGGTTCAGGGTTATGGCGCACAGCTCACGGGCATGGCATGGCCCAGCCCAGGGCGGGAGGCACAGCCAGGCTGAGCATGCCTGGGCAGGGCTCGTGCAGAGCTGAGCTAGTCCTTCAGCCCAGCAAGGCTCCTGGCTTCTGGCTGCCAAAGGCCACCATGACCCAGCTGGGTGGATGTGCTAAGCCTGGCCTGAGCAGGCATGAGGATGCTGTGATGGAACTCAATCTCCAAGAGACAATCCCTGGCATGGAGCCACAGCAGCCCCAAGAGAAGCCCTGCCAGACCCCCAGAGCTCATGCTCTGCACCTTTCCTAGAGGCACATGAAAGGGTGCCTGGGGAAGGACAGGTCCTGCCTACTCACCTGTCATCACCTGGAAGGCGGAGAAGTTGACGTAGTCCTCGGCCACCTTTTGGAACAGTTCATCTAAGGAGAAAGGAGGCATGGCAGGTGTGGGTGCCCCCCTGCCAGGCAGAGCCCCCAGCCCTGCTCAGCCAGGACATGGCCCCAGCGGGGGGCTACTCACCCACATTCTGGCCCGTTTTACTGGAGGTCTCAAAGTGGTCTGCTTTGATCTCTGAAATGAGGGCCCAGGTTGGCACTTGCTGCAGGTGCAGCAGATATGGCCCCACGTGCTTGTCTGCCCCCAGAGTCACCCCTTGGGCACAGCTGCTGACAGCAGGCTGGCAGGGACCCAGGGCAGGGCTCCCAGCCCCTTGGCCCAGCTGGCCATGTGCCTGCCCATGTCAGGACATGCTGTGCCCAGGGAGGTCCCTGGCAGAGCCAGTGTCTTACCACACAGGGAGTCCTGGTGCCATTGGATCTGCTGTGGGCCCACGGCAAGGGCACAGCTCCTCGTGTGGATGCAGTAGCTCAATCCTCCCTCACTCCCCACCCACTCAATGCTCGTGAGCCCGGGAAGGGCCAGCACCAGCCGTACCGTCAGCATAGTCCTGCACATCGTGGAAGTCAACCCCCCTCTTTCTCCTGTCCTCCTCCAGCAGGTCGCTCTTGGTGCCACACAGGTAGATCCGGCAGCCCTGCGGCAGGAAAAGTGTTGGGAAGGGTCCCCAACACATCCCCACCAGCGGCGCCCTTTGTCTTGTGGCGAGGCTTCACAGCCCTCCGGCCCCCCGTACCTCCTCACAGTTCTGCAGCTCGTTCACCCAGAACTTGGCTCGCTGGAAACTGCCACTGTCAGTGAGATCTGGGGAGAGGAATCAGGGTCTGCTGACACTGCTGCTCAGTGCCCGACCCACCGGTGTCTCTACCACCCTGGCCCGGGACCTTTGCAGTCACCGCTTCTTCCCTTTCCCATTCTCCGTGCCCTTACCGTAGCAGACGACGGCAGCCCGCGCTCCCCGGTAGTAGATACGGCTCATGGCCTCATAGCGCTCCGAGCCCGCCGTGTCCTGGGGGCGACAGGGAAGCGCTCGGCAAATGACAGGGGTTGGAGGGTCACAGGGGTCCCTCAGCCATGGGGTGGACAGGGATGTCAGCGGGGCACCCCTCGCCTCTGCACTTACCCAGATGCCCAGGGTCACTGTCTGGTCCCCCACGGTCATCACCTTGGCCACAAAAGCGGCTCCGATCGTCTGGAAGCGAAGCAAGAGGAGTGCTGGGAACCGGCCTGGGGACGCGGGAACATCTGGCCTGGTAACACGGTGGAAACCGGCGCAGGGACACGGGGGGAATTCAACCCAGGGGATGCGGAAGGAGGGTGAGTAAACGAGCGGACCGACCCGCGGGCGAGGGACGGACGTGGTGGGTCCGGACACGGGGGGAACAACACGATGGGACGCCGTCCCAGAGACGTGCGTGGCAGCATCCCGGGAACACGGCGCGGAAACAAGGTGACCACGGGCAGGATTGCGGGGGTGACACGGGAGGGGTTCATGCCGGGGAGGCGAGGGAGACACGGGGGCGGCCATGCCGGGGACGCGCGGCAGCGGCGCGGGGCCGCGAGGTGCCGATGTGTCACTCACGTTCTGGTAGGGCCCGGCGCGGAAGCGGCCATGGGCGCAACGCTCCACGAGGCTGCTCTTGCCCACCCCCTCCTGCCCCAGCAGCACCACCTTGGCGTCCACTCGCCTCCCGCTCATCCTCGCGCCGCCGCCGCCGCGGGGCGGGGCCGCAGCGGCTGGGGCGGGACCGGAAGCGGGAGGGGGTGGGCGGAAGCGGGAGAGGCGTGCCGGAAGTGCGCAGTGCGGGCGGAAGCGCGCGGCGGGGCGGGGTGGGGCGCGCGGGCCGCATGGCGGCCGCCCAGCAGGCGCGGGCCTGAGCGGCGGCCCCATGGGGAAATACTGCGCCAGCCTGAGCGTCCTCAAGGGGCCCTGGGACCAGGTGTTCGCCGCCTTCTGGCAGCGCTACCCCAACCCCTACAGGTGCGCCTAGGCCCTCCGCGACCCCCCCGCTCCCTTCCGCCATCCCGGTCCCACCTGGGATTGGTGCCACTCCCCATCCTCATCCCAGCCCTTTCCCCGGGGGTCCCGCGGGCTCCAGCCTTCGGGGATGGGTGTCCCGCACCACCAGAGCCCAGCGGGCAGTTGATTCTTGCCTCATTGCAGCCTCTTTAATCCTTCAGTTCCTGACGATTCCCTGCCCCGGGGGAGAGTTGGCGAGGAGTCGGGCTTGATGTTTTCTTCCCCGTTTTAGCAAACATGTCTTGACCGAAGACATTGTGCACCGGGAGGTGACGCCGGACCACAAGCTGCTCTCTCGGCGGCTCCTGACCAAGACCAACCGGATGCCGCGCTGGGCAGAGCGCTTCTTCCCAGCCAATGTCGCCCACTCCGTCTACATCCTGGAGGACTCAATCGTGGACCCCAAGAACCGAACCATGACCACATTCACCTGGAACATCAACCACGCTCGTCTCATGGTAGGTGCTGCTGCTGGGTGGGTGTGGGGGGTGGAGGGGACCCAGCAGTGCCCACAGGTGGGCTGTGCCTCGTGCAGGTGGTGGAGGAGCGCTGCGAGTACCGGGTGAACCCCGAGAACAGCAATTGGACCGAGGTCAAGCGGGAAGCCTGGGTATCTTCCAGCCTATTTGGCGTCTCGCGGGCCATCCAGGTGAGCTCAAGCAGTAAAGCTGCTGCTCGTCCCTGCTCTACCCTTTCTTTGTGTTGGCTTTTACATCCTTTCCCTTTGCTCCTCCACATCCTCATGAGCTCTTGAGGCACCCAGAACTATCACGGTGAAAGTCACTGGAACAAAGCCCCAGGAGCTGTGTGTGACAGGGCTCACACCTTCACTGACTTTTCTCTTGCAGGAGTTTGGTCTGGCCAGGTTCAAAAGCAACGTGACCAAGAGCACTAAGGGATTTGAATACGTGCTAGCAAGAATGCAAGGTGGGCACCAAGGGCAGGCTGGGGCTGACCGGGACGGGTCTCTTGGAGTTAGAGGTCATACTGGGACCACTTCAGTCCACGGGCAGGTTGTGGCTTGAACTAATCTGGCTGTGAAATCCTCAGCCCTTGCCTTTGCCCTGTGGCACAGCCTGCTCTTCCTGAGTGGAACAGACCAGCAGTGATTGCAGGGCCGGGCAAGGGTGGAGTGCAGGCAGGAGGGGATGGAACATGGCAACAGTCACGTGCCTGTGGTTCCCCTTTGCAACGTGCCCTGACGTGCTGGGGTCAGGAACACCAGGCTCATCTTCCTTCCTCCCTGTGCGGGGAAGTGCCTCAGTGGCAGGGCCGGTCTAGCCGGCGCTCCTGTGGGGTTAATAGCTTCCATGTTGTAGGAGAAGCTCCATCCAAAACACTGGTGGAGACAGCCAAGGAAGCAACCGAGAAAGCCAAGGAAACAGCTCTGGCTGCTACGGAGAAAGCCAAGGACCTGGCAAGCAAGGCAGCCACCAAGAAGAAGCAGTATGTGTGAGGGGCCAGCTGCACCAGGACAGATAGGAGACTCCTTAGATTTTATATTTTTAAAGAAACTGTATAAGTCTGACAATCAGCTGCTGTTTGACCCTTTCTGAGATGTAATTATCATTAAAGAATCTACTCCCACCTCTGATATGGCTGAGGCTGGCCTGGCTAGAGCGGAACCCAGCACTGCTCTCCACTCTGGGAGTCAGCCCTCTGTAGGGAAGACACAGGCCAGGGTTTTACCAAGTGCCTTTATTATAAAGTGTCAGATCTGTACAAGAGAGTGGGGAGGCTGCGGGAGCATGAAGGCAGGTTGCTTAATGCACTCGTTTCCCCTTCTGGCGCTCCAGGGGCAGGAGAGCCTTCCTGTAGTCATGTCTGCAATGAGCAGCACTGCCCCATACCCACACCAGGCAGCCCCCAGATTGCCCAGGGGTACACAGGAGGAGGCAGGAGGGTGTCCTTGGTGACAACTGGGCCTTCTTCCAGCACCTCTTCCAGTGCTTATGGTGCACATCGGGTGCCACAGTGCAGTGCCAGCCCCATGCACCCAGTGCCACAGCCGGTGCCACCCAGCTGTGGGGGGTAAAGCTGAACTCTTGCCCCCACCTGTGGCCCCTTAGCCTGTCAGCTGTCGTGAGTCTGGCTGAGACCAGATTTCCAGCAGGAAGGAGGCAGGCAGGCAGTTCAGGGAAGGCAGCAGGCACCGTCAGGATGCCGGGCTGTGGGGGCTGGAGTAGCTGTGGTCCCTCCCGGTGCCAAAGCTGGGCAGCAGGTCCCCGCTGAACACCACACCATCTACCTCTACCTCGGCATCCTCTGGGCACACGGGGAAGGCCGGGTCAGGTCCTTGCTGCTTTCCCTCCCTGCCCACCCTCGTTCTTTCTTTCTTTCTTTCTTTCTTTCCCCTTTCTTACCTTCCTCGGAGGGCTCTGAGAGCCGGGACGAGTCCAGGCTGTCAGCCCGTGCCCGTTCCCCATCAGTGGGCAAGAGAAGCAGTTCCAGCCGCCGCTGCAGGCTCCGCTGTCGGTCCCGCAGCTGGTCCTTGGCCCTTCGTGCTCTCAGTTCCTGCTCCTCCAGCCTCTGTGGGGGCCCGGTGAGCCATGAGCAGGGGCTGAGCTGGGCGGCCCAGTTGCCACACAGGACCTCCCGAGCGATGCTGGGGCCAACACACCCCTTACCTGGATATGAAGTCGGGCACGGTGCAGGAGGCTCAGCGTGGTGGAACGGGATGGCCCCGTACCCACCGGTACCTGCTGCTTCAGCCGCTCCAGACAGCACCGGAGCTGGGCTCTCCTGGGGCCGGGCAGGGGGGGAACGACACGGGGGTCAGCCACAGAGAGGCACGAACTCTACCACCCCCTGCCCCACTGCTCTCCCTCTACGCTCCCGTACCTGTGCTTCTCCAGCGCGTTGTGCATCGACCTGCGGAAGACATCCCAGTGATCAGCCCGGCCGCCACCGACCGCCGCCGTCCACCCACCCACTCACTCGCCCGCCGCTCACCTGACGCTACCCACGGCCCGGCGCGACGGCGCAGGGCAGAGCGCGGCGTAGCCGTGCTCGGCCTCGGCCAGGCCGAGTGGGTATCGGTGCTCGCAGTGCTCCAGGAACTCGGCCGCCTGGAGCAGCACCTGGATGCTGGTGGCCGCGGGCTCCATGGCGGGGGGGGGGGGGGGGGGAAGGCCGTGAGCCGAGCGCTCATTGGCTGCGGGACGCTCCGCTCTGCTGACGTCACTTCGGCGGGCAAACAAATTCAGGCGGGAAAAAGCGTGCTTCAAATTTGAATCGGCGGGAGGGGACGGCGCTGGCCACGCCCCGGCCACCATGCCACGCCCCTGGCGGTGTTTAAGCAATTGACACCCCATTGGCCACGCCCACCCATAGCCACGCCCCCAGGAAAGGTGCGCCCGGTGACGCGCGTGGCGCGGATCGCGCGTGTCCGCCTATGCAGCCGGGCGGGAGCGCGCACGCCCTGCTACCCCCAGCCACTCATCCTCCGCCCCACCGAAGCCACGGGTGTCCCCAGACCGGCCGCGCCCACCAGCCCCCCCGGGAATCGCCGCGGCCCAGCGCCACACGGCCCAGACAGACGGGTTTATCTCTTTATTAAAATCCATCAGGTGGAGGCGATAGGGAAGGAAGGGCAGCGCCGGGCCCCAGCTCCCGGGCACGGCACGGCACGGCACGGGTGGCCCCGGGGCACCCGCTGTCATGTGAGTGGTGTTTGCACCTTCTCAGGCCAGGCCCCGGGGGGAGACTCTGCCCCAGGACCCAACAGCAGCCAAAGTTCACCTGAAAAAAAACCACTACGAAGCACATTTCCAGCCGGGGGGCAGGTGCACGGCAGCAGCAGGCAGCTCACCGAAAGCAGAGCAGGCCACGGTGCACCAGGAGAGGCGGTCCTGCGCCCACCATCACCCCGTATGAGCTGCCACCTTGTGTGGGGTCCTGCCCCTGTGCATCGGGGGAGGCCTAACATCATCTGGGGGGGTCCTGCCGCCGTGCCCACCAAGCTATGAGGAGAGTCACGGGGCCGAGGTGCTGCCCGGCAGCCCCAAAGCGGCCCTGGGCACCCAGTTGTGCAGCCTCCTATGAAGTAGATCTGGCAGAGGGGCTCTCACTGGCTCCGGGCACAGCGGGATGTGGGCGGGAGATGTGTGGTGTAGCAGTGGGTGCAGACACGTACAGGTTTGGTGTGGCCATAGTGGGGCAGCACTGCGGTGTTCGGTGAGCAGCGGGCACAGAAGATCTGCAGGGAGGGCAGAGAGGGGCTGAGCAGGGCTGGGTCCCTCAGGGAACCCCACATGCTCCATCTCAACCCTGTTGTACCTTCCCACAGCTGCGGCAGTGGTGCCGGCGGCGTAGCAGGGTGAAGGGCGAGCAGCAGGCAGAGCACTGGCTGCATGTGCTGTCCGGCACCCACTCGGGCAGGTGGCGGGCACCTGCTGGGCAAAACACACTGGTAAAAACCCCTCAACCTGGCTCCCCTCACAGCCAGATCCCCTAAGGCAGGATGAGGCATGATCAGCCCCAGCCTCACACCCTGCCCCAGAGCCATGGCACCTGGGCAGTGCCTTACCTGCCCTCCGGAGCCGGGCAGCCTCTGCAGTGCTGGAGCACAGTGGGCAGTCAGAGATGCCAGGAGCATGTGTCACACAGGAGTCACCATCTTTCTCTTCTGCAGGGACAAGGGTTGTGGTCCAGCCAAGCTGGAGCTGGGCGGGCACTACAGCCACGTTTTTCCCAAGCCTAGGGCTGTGGCCTTGTCTCACCAGGAATGGGTAATGGGCAGGGCAGAGAGGAGCAGTCCCACATGTCCCTGGGGATTACTCACTGCTGCCACTCTGCTCCTCTGAGGACTCCGCCTGTGAGCACACAATCTTGAAGACCGTTTTCAAGATGCTTCGCATATCACTGGCAAAGTTGGTCTGGAGCTGATCAGCCACCCCTGCACCAGGAGGGTGGGGGGTCAGGGTGCTGGGGGGGATCAGGGTGCCAGGGGGTTGGCTTGGGGGGTCACTCACCCGAGATGCAGACGAAGAGGGTGTGCAGCATATCCTTGGTGCTGCTGTAGCGGGAGCGCAGCTCCAAGCAGCGGGCATTTGGGGTGGCATGGACCCCCATTCCTGGGCTGCTCCCAAGGGGCTGGGGGCTGCGCAGTGGGGAGGTGACCATTACGCCAGGGATGGTACGAGATATCCCTGTCCCACTGGACGGGGATTTGCCATCTTGGCCCTGTTCCCTGCCCACCACATGCCCCTGCTGCCAGTCGGTGCCCACGTCATCCACTGCACTGGGGGGTCCCAGTCGCGTCATGCAGGTGGAAGGTGGTTGGGTGGCATTAGGGACCTCCAGAAGACTGAAGGGAGCAGGGGGGTCCCCGCTGGGCACAGCTGCCCCCCAAGTTAGGGGGGCATCTGGACTGCAGGGATCCTCCTGTTCAGCTGTGCACAGGCTCCTCTCCAGCAGGCAGAGCTCCTCTGCTGACAGCACCCACAACAGGTCCCTGTGGTGAGGGGTTGGCTTCAGCCCCATGTCATGGCCCTACTGCTGTCCCACAGCCCCACCCATCACCCCCCGCTGCACACCTGATCTTCTTTAGGAGGTTGTAGAAGGGGCTGAAGACCCGGGACATCTCCTCAGGTCTCCGGTCTAGGCTGAGGGGACCCTCGGGGTAGATGAGGAGACCACTGTGAGGAGACAGAACCCAATTCATGTCGGGGGTTGCCTAGGACCCCAACTCCTCATGGGAAGAAGGCGCTGGTACAGGGCAGGGAACATACCCCTTCTCCAGGGTCTGCACCCACCTGATAATGGCCAGGCGAGGGATGGTGAACATCAGCAGTGGTTCATAGCCATCAATCATCTCCTGAGTCAGGTAGCCCAGGTGCAGGGCTCTGGGGACACACAGACACCCTTCCAGTGGATCTGAGCCTAGGGATGCTGCCCATCCTTGGGGCTGGAGTCCCTGCAGCCTCCACCTGACACACAGTGTCCCTCACTTACCTCTCCACTGTCTCACAGAAGAGCACAATGATCTCCTGCTGCCTGTAGATCTCATCAGGAGACTTCACTGCCACCAGCGAGGACACGTAGCTGGAGAGATGGGGAGACTTGAGGTCCCTACAGTCCTGGCACAGCCCACCACGACCCCAGCATCCTAACCCTGCCCCTTACCTCAGCTCAAACTCTGCAAACAGCCGGTCGAATTGGATGAGCACAGCTCGGACAGGCTCTGGGTAGGAGTTGGGTTGGCTCAGGCTTTGCTCCCGCAGCACTGTCCGCACCAGCTCCAGGCTGCACAGCAGATTCCTGGCCTGGGGCCGCAGCTGTGCCCCATCCGACTCCTCCAACTCCAGGAAGGTCCCAGCCAGGAGACACTGCCAGGATAGGGACTGTCAGCAGCCAGCACCCAAGGCACTGCCTAACACCAGGGTCAGCTCACGGTGGGATGTCCATGGCCCTGGGCTCACCTCGGCAGCAAACAGCATGTGGTTCCCCAAGTTGTCCACCAAGAGCTCCTCGGGGAACTTGACCAGGTAGTCACGGCTGTGCCGCTGCGTGGGGATGCACTCCTCCATGATCCGCTCCAGGACGGCCAGCAGGTGAGCCTGGGGAAGGCAGGGGTGTCACCCGCGGCTTCCCGGAGGGGCCGAGTCATAGCGGGATCCGGGCTGTCCCCGTACCTGGCTGAAGTGGAGCTGGTTGAGGAGCACCAGGTACTGCTGCGGATCTAGTTCGGCATCCAGCCCATTGATCTCGGCCACCACCCGTGTCACTCTCTCGTCGGCAAAGAAGAACTGGGAGAGCAGGCGTGGGTCGGAGCGCTGCGGGAAGAGCAGAGGGGTGATGGTGGGGGCACCCCGCATCTCCACGTGCTGCTTCTGCGGGATCCCAAATCTCCCATTCCCACAGTCGTGGAGGGATAGGACCCCACGTATCCACAAACACCTATTCGGGCAGGTACGTGGGACCTCCCACGGCAGCTCTGGCTCCGCCCGGGGAGCGCCGCCCTCCCCACCCACCCGTGCCTCAGTTTCCCCGGGGGCAGAGCAGGATGAACAAGCTCAGCCGCATCCCAGCAGCTTTGGAAGCGATCCGTGCCTGGCTGTAAACACCGGGAAAGGTCCTCCGGAGTCCCCCCCGCTTCTTCCTCCCGCTCCACCACGAGGGATCTGCGCCGCACCCCCCTCCGCCCGGGATCGCCGGAGCTCCTGGATCCCCCCGACGGGGGCCGTCCGGGGGCTCCGCCGGTCCCGGGAGCAGGGAGGGCGGTCCCGGTGCGATCCCCCTGGTCTCACCTTGGGTCGGCGGAGCCATCGGCGCAGGGCAGCGGGCAGCATGGCGCGTCCCGCAGCTCTGCCGCCGCCCGGCTCCCCGCGCCCGCCGCTCGCCGACGGGGCGGGTCGGCACCGGGCACCGCCCGGGGGGCGGATCGGAGCGGTGTCCGCCCAGTCCCGGCACCGGGACGACCCGTCCGCTCCTCGACCGACCGGTTCTCTGTGATGGGAAGGGTGAGGGTGCGTCTGCCGTGGGGCGGGATGGGTTTCACCGCCGGCTTTCCTTCCCGGTCTCGGTTCCTACCTCAAATTCCCAACTGCATCCCCGGCTATCCTCTCCCTGTTCCTTTCTCCCTTCAGCCCAACCTTCCGGAGACAGGGACACCTCAGCGCTTCCCACAGCCCCCGAGCATTCCCGGAGTGATGGGGAGCACCAGGAGAAGCACCCGCAGGCATCTTTACTGTGCAGGGCATGGGATGCGGAGCCGGGTAATGCAGTGGGAAGGAAGTAAAGTGGCCCCTCGGTGGGACAAAGAGGAACCAAGTGGCCAAGAAGAGGTCTCAGGGTGTTGGGCACAGTAAACTGCCCCGGCTGTACCAAAGGACGTGTTTGCTCCAGACCTGGCACTGCTGGCCACAGGATGTGGGTGCCGATAATTCAGGTGGCTGAAAGCCTAATGGGGTGGATTCATGGGTAAAAAATCCGTGGAGAATGATTGAACAAACACGGCAGCGGCATGTCCTCGGCTTCAGAAAGTCTCTGAGTCATGGCAGTGCCCAGGCTGCGCGGGATGGGTGCAGGTGTGGGACTGGCCCTGGTGTTGGGGCTCCCTGTGTACCCCACAGACTCCAGCTCTGTTTTCAGCCATGTCCTGGTTCCCATAGGTGAGGATTCCTGTGCACAAAGTGAGACTGGAGCCTTGCTTGTCCCACAGGTCCCCGCAGATCTGGGCACCACAATAAAAGAAGGATATAAGCTATTAGAGAGTGTCCAAAGCAGGCTGCAAAGGGTCTAGAGGGGAAATCACATGAAAAGCTGCTGAAGTCCCTTGGTCTGTTCAGTCTGGAGGAGACTGAGGAGAGACCTCATTATGGGCTGCAGCTTCCTCAGGAGGGGCAGCTGAGGGCAGCTCCAATCTCTGCTCTCTGTGGTAGTAACAGGACCCGAGGGAATGCCTGGAGCTGTGTCAGGGGAAGTTTAGGCAGGATATTAGGAAAAGGTTCTTTGCCCAGAGGGTGGTTGGGCATGAACAAGCTCCCCAGGGAAGTGGTCATGACCCCAAGCCTGCCAGAGCTCCAGGAGTATTTGGACTGCTCTTAGGCAGAGGGCGAGATTTTTGGGGTTGTCCTGTGCAGGGCCAGGAATGACAGAATCATAGAATAGTTTGGACGTGACCTTAAAGATAATTTCGTTCCACCCCTCTGCCATGCACAGGGACACCTTCCACTAGACCAGGTCACTCCAAACCCCGTCCAACATAACTTGGCCTTGAACACCTCCAGGGATGGGGCAGGCACAGCTTCTCTGGGAACCCTGTGCCAGGGACTCACCACCCTCACAGGGAAGACTTTTTTCCTAATATCTAATCTAGTCTAATCCTGCTGTCTTTCAGTTTGAGCCCAAGGAGCTGCACTCCGGTGGTCCAGCTGGGGATACAGTCTCGATGCAGCCCCGATCACGACTGAGGCACCGGCGCCTTTAGGACCCGCGGGAGCCTCGGGGAGCGGGGGCGGATTCGAACTCGCGGTGCTGCCGCCACTCCTCCTGTCCGCCAGGGGGCGCAGCGCTGCCCTCTCGCAAGATGGCGGCGGCGGCTTCACCTCCCCGAGCGCTTCCCCCCTCCCTCCCTCCCTCCTTCCCGCGGGCAGGGGCCGGACGGGCCGCGCCGCCATATTGGCTGTTGTCCTGGCTGCGGCGGGCTCGCCATGACTCGCCGGCGGAACAAGGCGGCAACGGCGGCAACGGCGGCGGCAGCGGCAGCAGGTGGCTCCGGGCCTCGTCGTGACAGGATGGCGGGTCCCGACGTCGGGCCTCCCCCGCCGCCACCACCACCGGAACCGCCCGCCCCGCCTGAGGTGGCGGCGGCGGCGGGCAGCGGCGGGGAGTCGGGCAGAGGCAGCGCGCAGGTATCGGCGTAGCGCTGCGGCGGGCACGGGGCTGGCTCTGAGGGGGGGTTTCAGCCTGGGCGGGGATGGGGCCCAGCCCCTTCCACCCCATCCCCCCCCCGGGCCCTGCCGCATCCCCGCCCCGACCCCCGACTCGGAGCATCCCTGCGGATGGGGCTCGGACGTTCCCACAGCGCCCCGCGGGAGGGCCGAGCCCTGCCACAGCCCTGCCACAGCCTTGCCGCTGGGCGATGGCAGGTGGCTCCAGCATCCTCATTCAGCGCGCTTCTCCCTGCTGGACACACCTGGCTGCCGCCACCTGCTCCGGGTTATGGGCAGGGAGGCGGGGGTGGGCACCGGGTGTGGATGTGCTGGGTGGATTGGGGACAGCCGTGGTGTCACCCGCCGTGGTGTCACCCGCCGTGGTGGCTGTGTCAGCTGGGACGTGGGGTGGCCTGGTTGCTCCCCCCTCGCCATGGGTGGGCAGCGTGGCTGTGCCCCCACTCTGCTCTCCTTGGCCTCTGACCTTTGCTTCACCTTGAGCCTGCAGACGCCATCTGTTTGGCAGCAGCAGTTCAATGCACGGCTCATTGTGGCAGGACCCCGCTGTGCCGGCAGACAATGGGGGCCCCCTCGCCCGCGCCACGCCGGGCTCGTCACGGCTGTCAGGGCTCCAGCGAGCCCGAGGGATGCAGCCCAGCTCCTGCAGGGAAGCCCCAACCTGGCAGTGCCTGTGCGAGGAGAGAGTGAAGCAGTTCTGGGAGCTGCACCCCACCCTAGCACGTCGGCACCGCTGGCTGTGCAGAACAAAGAGGCGGGAGAGAGGGCTTGGGGCTCTTGGGTGACACAGTGGGGGCATCTTTGATGGGCAAGGAGGGAGAGCTGAGGCTGCCAGACCCACCCTTCGTATCCCTGTGTGGGATTTCTGTGGATATTGCTTTGCCATACAAGTCCTCTCAGTCTCACTGTACTAGAGGTGATGATGGGAGTTGCTGATGGCTTCCCAGCCTTGCTTGGTGACAAAGCTGGCTCTTTGGCATGCTGTGATCTTCCCAGAAGTCCAGACACTCCCAAGCAGGCACATGGCAGGTTGGCAACAGCTGGTCAGCCTGAGGCTGCTCTGCTCCAGTGGGAGAAGGTGCACTGCCACATGCAGCCTACAAGAATTTCCTTGGTTTGGTGTCAGTGTCCTGAGGTCTCCTTCACTGCCTCATCTGCCCCACATCTGCACCAGATCACACCTGGGTGACTCACAGTCTGTGTGTCCTTCCTCAGGTGCTGCCCACCACCAACCAGTCCGTGCAGACATGCTGCCTGCTCTGTCATCGGGAGCGCAAGGACTGGGGAGGGCCGTCCCACAATGGGCTGGTTTCCCCGGGCGAGAGGCTGCCACCAGACTTCGTGCCAACGCTCGTGCAGAACCTCCTGGGAGAAATGCCACTGTGGATCTGCCAGAGCTGCCGGAAGAGTGTGGAGGAGGAAGAGCGACGGGCGGTGCAGGAGCAGGCCCTGGCGGTATGCGGTTACGGAGCTGGGGTTTGAAAGCCAGGGCTGTAGCTGTGGGAATGTGGCACTGACCACGCTGTGGCACTGACTGGGTGTGTGGGTCCCATCTTCACTCTGAGCTGTGTCCCAGACATCCCAGCCTTTACTTCGCTTCCCAGGACTGCCTCTGGCTCAGCAGGGACAGGCCCTGTTGGGGCTGTGTGTGATACTGTGGGGGCTCATCCAGCAGCCTGCCATGGCTTGGAGCTGCCGGGCTGGCAAGGCTGACAGTGCCACTGCTTTCCTGCCAGCCCCGCTCTGCTGTGTGTTGTGCCATGTCCCCCGGCCCCAGGGCTGCTCCCTTCATGACGCAGAGAGAGGCAGCGGCTGCCAGGGCAAGTGCCTGCCTGTGCGTGGGGCTTGGGTAGAGGAGCTGCCTCCTGCCTGGCTTTATTTAACCCTGTCTTGGTGTGAGTGGGACCAGCACAGGCGTGTGGCCCTTGGCATGGCCCAGCCTCTGTGAGCCAGGCTGTATTGGTGTTGGATGGAGGGGGTGTTTGTCACTCCCAAGACAGTGACAGAAGTGGTTCACGTGAGCTGAGCCTCTGCTACAGTGGAGAGAGTCTTGGTGCTGATATTCTGGGGCCGAGGGTGTCCCCTCAGCCACTTCATTCTGTGTTTCCTTTGATAGGTCTCCTTATCCCACACATCCTGCAAGTCGCAGTCTTGTGGGGGTGGTTCACACTCCTCTTCCTCCTCCTCCTCATCTTCTTCTTCCTCGTGCCACGGGAACTCAGGGGACTGGGACCCCAGCTCGTTTCTGTCTGCTCACAAGCTCTCGGGCCTCTGGAACTCGCAGCACACCAACGGGACTGCACAGGGCAGCCCCCTTGGGACCCCCACAGCTGCACTAGGTGAGTTGAGCAAAGCTTTCTGCTCAGTTCTTAGGTGGTTTCCTTGTGGGCAAGGGTGGGCAGGCTGGGCCTCTGAATCTCAATTCCAGCAGCA